CAGATTTTACTTTCACAAGTGGAGCAGTACGGCTATCGTCATAGTGTTCCGCATGTTTCAAATAAATTGCTTTATTATAATTATGCAGGGAGTTTTACAGATTATATGGACACTGCAATGTAAGTAGAACAGAAGAGGAAAAACAGAAAAAAGGAGAAAAGATGAAAGAAAGGAGATACTGTAAAAGGGAGATAATGATAAAACATTTTCAGTCTGCTTCATCACCTGCAAAGAGATGGAAAAAGAACAGCACAACCAACAGACATGGTACGAGAAATACAATAAAGTAACACCTAGATACTATCGCTGAAGTAGTATTATTTAATCTGACATGTATTCTGTGTTACCTGAAGATAAGAATATGGGCTTTCTGTATGGAAGTGAATCTCTGAGTACCTGGAACTAAGCACAGGAGACCCAAAGCCCCAGACGCCCAAAGGGACCCCAAGAGCGAAGGCACCAAGGAGGGGCCAGCCCAGGAAATGCAACCTGCACCAAAGGAGGAGGAGAGACAGCCCTGATGAAGTCCCCCAGCCACCACAATGCCGGAGCCCCTTAAATTTGAAACGCATTCAGATGCACTTAAACATTGAAATAGCCCTTTGATGTAGCGCTCAGATGAATTAAACAGCTTCATCCACCATCAGGTGTCACTTCCAATAATAACCTAAGCCGAAACTCTTTCTACAAAATAATACAAAAACCCTTATTTCGTTTATTGAATGAAAAAGTTGCGTTTTTTTAATTATCGGTTATTAATACATACAGTAACGTTTATATATATGTAATTATTATCCAGTCATATTGTTTAATTGAGCATTTATTTACTTCTATTTTTTCCACAGCTGCTAAAAGATTGAGGGAAGCTGCCAACAGCAACGACATCGACACAGGTAGGAGGGATACATTTTGGAAGCTTTGGAAGCGGTGTAAAATAATGTTTTTTTAAGTGTGTGTTTTACTTTTGTATTCTAGTTCGGAAGCTCCTGCAGGATGACACAGACCCGTGTGCTGCAGATGACAAAGGAAGGACGGCCCTACACTTCTCATCTTGCAATGGCAACGACAGCATTGGTAGTTTGACAACTTCTTTATTTGCCACTTAAATACTTTTGTTTGCTGATTACATGATGGAGAGCAAATAAAGATGTAAATTCATTTTCATATTTCTGTTGTTTTAGTGCAGCTGTTGTTGAGTTATGGTGCCGACCCCAACCAGAGAGACAGCCTGGGAAATACCCCTCTGCACCTGGGTAAGCGGCTCTCCTCCTGACCTGTAAAAGCTGTAGTTACTGTGGTCGCTTTCTTAAAGGTCAACTTTTACATGAAATGACAAAGCAGTGCTGTTGTTCTAAACCTTATGTATTTGGAAGTGTTCTTTTGTTTCTGAGGGTTCAGACTTTATCTGATTTCCTTTTGTGTTCCTGCAGCGGCTTGTACCAACCATGTCCCTGTAATCACCACCTTGCTCAGAGGAGGTAAGACTTTTTGGAGAGGAGTTAAATGCTTCAGTTTTACTTTGTAGAAAACTGAAAATCTGGATAATTTTCAGGAAATTGCTACGATTGTGCTGGACAATTTCCTTGGCATGATTACAGTTAAACCTGTTAAGACCATTAAGGTTTCAGATGGAGAACATTCCTAGCCTCGTGAGACCATCCTGATCTCGCAAGCTTTCAAGGTTTCACTCGCAGATCAGTCTGGAGACTCTCCGTTAAACAAAATTTGGAGCCGTTCGCCAAACGAACGTCCAATTAGCGTTGGCTTTGAGGCGGGTTGAGGTGTGACGCAACGAGAAGCGCGACAGTTCAGTCTAAAGAACATGGCGGCTTCAGCTGATGAAACTAGTGTTAGCGTGGCTATCGAGCAAGTTTTATCTGAATTACAGAGTATTTCTTCACTGAAAGAAGAGCAAAACACTGCTCTGGAGGCTTTTCTCAGAGGAAAAGATGTTTTTGCTCTTCTCCCGACTGGTTTCGGCAAGAGTAGCCTGGCTTGTGGTTGTGTTTTCGTCATCGCTCTGTTACGTCATATGCTTCGTTGATCTGATTGGTTTATTTGGCCCGTCTATCACCAACATAGGCCAATCAGCTAACCAGTATTTTCGCCCCTTCCCAAAATTACTTCAATGGAAGGTTTCCAGATGGATATGCGGAGCAAATCCATCTGGTGGAGTCAGGTTAGAACATTCCTACAGTCGCCATCAGTGTCATTCTTGCTGCACAGCTCAGGGCCAGTGTAGAAAAGTGTTGAAAAATCTGGAAATGATTGGATTATTTCTTAGAACTGAACAAAAATAAAAAGAACATTTAGTTTTAAAAATGATTGAGGGAGGGCCCTATTGTTCTTGAGCTAATATCTTTTTACATATATTTATTTTAAACATGTTTTTATTATGATGGATTTTTCAAAAGTACAATTTATTTTTAATTTATTTATTTATTTATATTTTTATTTTACCTAGCTGGATAAAAACACATTTTGTAAAGTAAAGTTTAAAAACAAGCAACTCTGAAAAACTTGGTAATTTGAAAAAGGTTTTTAGAGGAACGTTACTGTTTTCTCAGATTCCTTTTTTCTTTTATACGTTTTATTTTTTTCAAAAATGTTCTGTTCTTTTTCTTTGAAAATTTTTTTCTTATTTAAATTTTTTTTTTCTGTTTTGGAGTTTGAGTTTAGTGATAGCATTTTTTTCAAATTGTGTTTCACTGATCACATTCTCTTCAATTATAATAGAAAGTATCATTTTTGACGCTCCATGCAGACATGGAATGTTTCTATTCTTTTCACACCAGAAAAAAAGTGCAGCCCAAGAAGTAAAAAGAATGTGATCTGTAAAATGCCATTAGGAAAAGAATAAAATTTGTTTGTCTCAATCTGAAAAACAGAAATAAAAAAAAGAACATTTTAATCTCCATTCAAAAGTGTGTTCTTTGCAACTAAAACTGAACATAATTCATTCCATACTGGGGCTGGATAAAATGGACGGGGCTGCAGGTAGAGCTAGAGAGAGACACAGTTTGCCACACATCTTTTTTTGGTGCTCAACTGCCCATCTGGTGGTGAAATTTTGCTCATTTCCCATTTAATAACAGTTTGTTTTCTCAATGAAAACATCAAATGGCATCTAAAGTGTTAAAATCTTTTAAGTAAATCAATCAGATTCTCGTGTCTAAAGTAGAGTTTTTTGTTTTTCGTCTCTCTTAAGGAGCTCGTGTGGATGCTCTTGACCGTGCAGGGCGGACCCCGCTGCATTTGGCACGCTCCAAGCTGAACATTTTGCAGGAAGGAGAATCCCGTAGCTTGGAGACCCTCAGAGGAGAAGTCACCCAGGTACTTGATGCCATAGCTGGGTTTGTATATTAGTTTGGGGGCTTCTTCTGCTATTCCAATAGAGTTGACTTTATCATTTAATGCAATTCTGTGTCATTTCCACCTCCAGATAATTCAAATGCTCAGAGAGTACCTGAACCTAATGGGCCAAAGTGAAGCTAAAGAGAGACTGGATCACATTTCTACACGACTACAGCACACACGCACCAGAGAGCAGGTGAGAATTAGACAGACCCCAGATGATTGAGGGGTTCTGTTGTGTGTGTTTGACTTTCATTTCACTCTGTTGATGATAAACATTTTCTTTTTATCTTTCTTTTTTTTGCTTCGATACTTATCATTTCTTTCTTTGTTTCCTCGCTCAGGTGGATGAGGTGACAGATTTACTGGCCAGTTTTACATCGCTTAGTCTACAGAAACAGGACCTGGATTCTAGGTAGAAGATTAACTGACATCTGCTCCGTTTTAAATATGCCAAGCTTTTGATTTACTGGGTACAGCCAGAGAGCACAGGTCCAACTGTCAGACTGGGAATGGCTGTCAGTATTTATTGAAGAGACTGCAGTTGAAAACAGCTATATGCCTTTTTTTTTATTGCAGCAAGAAAACTGTCAGAGCAAAACCTCTGGCGCTGATATCAGCTTTGAATATAAAAAAAGAGCTGAAACAGCTATTTAATTTGGTTTGATATACACATTTCTGTTTCTCTCAAAGTACAATATTTATCCTAATACTTGGATACATTGCAAAATGTAACTATCCTAACAAAATAATAAGTTTTATTGTAAATAAAAAAACACAGCTGTTTCTGTATCACCACAAATCTAACGCTTAAATTATTTTGGTCATTACTGGACTGTGTATCTGTACAAAGAAGCCAAACGACAGCAAAGCTCAAAATATAAGAATGCAGCACTTTTTCTCTCTTCCATGAGCTGCAATCACTATATACATTTCCAGAGGTAATATTTACTGAAAGAATTTTTGATATAATACCAGATGGGTTGTTAATTGTTAAATCATTTATGCATTTTCTGGTACTATGGTTACGACCCCTTCTTTGATCGTTCATCATGTTTGTATTAGAGCCAGAGACATGAGGTGTATGTGAGAGAGAAAGGTAAAGCAGTAAGTGTTACTTAGCTCTGCAGATAAACCGGAAGCCATTATTATTTAACAACATAATGAAAAATCTAATCTCTAATCTCTTTTCATCATCCCACACTAGTAATGAGCGTATTTAGCATTGCTAACCTGAATCGCCATGTGTGCTATATCCTAAACTTTAGTAAGATTTTCAGAAGACCTCTCACATTTCCAAATCCAGCGTTTTCCACAACAAGACTTTCTCTTCATAATAGTATCTGAGTCATCATCTCAGAAATAAAAACACCTTCCTATATCCAAGAGCATTGTTAGCATTAATTATCGGTTGCCAAATCGGAAAAAATATTAGATTTTTAGTCTACAGGTAGTCAACTTCCTCTAAGACAAAATAGTCCAGCTTCAATTGGACAGATAAAAACTTATGGGAAGAAGAATTTGGTGCAATACAGACAGTTGGAACCACTTTTTTTTGTTTTGTTTTTTTCTCTGTGTAAGACTGTTTAATTGAAACGTTTTCACATTCTCTTTTTGCCTTCTATTCACTGGATATACTGTGATAATTACAGGACACAGTTTTGCAGTTTGACCGAAGTATTTTTTTAGTTTTCTTCTCCAAGTGGCTTTGTTGTACTGCCTTACTTTTTTTTTTTCAAATCTGTGCACAATAAATCTCTGTGAACTGTGTCGTAAAGAATATGCTTACTGTTGGAATTTAACATGAACCAATAAATCAGTATGTTGCCTATTATTCTGGGTTTCGTTTTTTTGAGTGAATTTTTTTATGTGTTAAATTTATAAGTGCATCATTTATTATCTATGCATTAATTAAACCCTCGTAATGGCTCATTTTTAAAACGCTACATAAGCGAATGTATATTTAATAGGTACAAAATTTTCTCCGTCGCTGATTGGCTGCGTCACCAAAGCCACGCCTCTCATGAAAGGCGGATTGTTGTCTGCCGATAATAAAGATGGCGAACGGACCCGCGTAAATTGGAGATCTCCATTGAGGTACCTACATCTTAATAAATGCCATTTTCTCACATTAAAATGCTCGTTATATAAATATGTTACTAAGCATTAGATTTTAACATTATGAAAGGCAAATGCATGTCCGTCGCGTTGTTTGGGACACTTGCTCGGCCTAGCTTAGAGGCAAAGCCTCGGTGTTTCCTGAGACGCCTTCGCCGGTCTGTAACTGTAAATCCCCCGCTAAGGGGCGGAAGTCCAAAAGAGCCTGGAGTTTGAGTGTGACAGTGAAATGGAAGGGGGTGTGTTTGTGTATGTTTATGAAAGGAGGCGGGAATTAGTTTAGCTAGTTTGAAAATGACAGACTTTTATTATCTTTTATCTTTCCAACTCTAATATATTTAGTCTCCCTTTGAGTTTGCATCTTGAACCTTCTGACCTGTTTGGAGACAATGAAAGAAAGTTTTACTCTATAGTTTCCTGTTTTTGTGTTTGCTTGACAGGTTGTTGCTGTAATTTTAGGACTTTTCATATACCAAAACACAAAAAGGAGTTCACTAAGAAAAAGGCATGGCATATGAGGAGTTAAAGGGTAAGGAAGGCTTTCTCTACTTCACCCACTATTGTATTTAATTACTCTTTGTGGATGTATGTAATTGATTTATCTTTCTATACTAATATGCCAACATCTACTATCACATAATGGTATTCTTTGTTTTGTTTATTTATATAAGAATCTAAAAAGTAATTCATATTAAATTAATTTCACTAACATGTTTTATATTTTAATCTCAATATACAAACAGCTGATTATGAGAACATCAGAGATCTGTCAGATAACATTTTTGAATAAACAGTCTCATGAAAACTAAGCATCATGTCATTGAGATGAGGTATTCAGCTGTGGGAAACCAAATGTAGGCTATTACTTTTAGGACAGATGAATCACACTTTGAGTGACCTATTTTAGAGATGGGGGCAGATGGAGGCCTCGTCGCTGGTCGTAGTCAGAGGGAGAAGAGGAGGTCCTACAAGGATCTGTTACGAGAGGAAGAAGAGATTGCTGCAGAGGTTCGGAAGTCATCTAAGAAACGTCCAAAGGTTAGTGTTTTGTCTTTATACTCTTGTTTGTTTTATGGCCTGTGTTACATGGGTATAACATGTATTGTCTCTGTTCAAATAAGGATTCTGAGCTTTTCATGCTGGGAGGGGACTTGCACAAGAAGAAGAAGAAACATAGCGATGATCACTATTACCGGGGTGAGAGTTATGCCTGCAAAGGTTTTATTACACATATATACACCAGGTCACAACTAAAAACTCAAGGTATTTAAATTTTTTTGACCAAAACAAAGACATGCATTTTGTAAAGTGGAAGGAAAATGATCCATTATGTTGCAGATTTTTATCTTTCTACCAGCTTTGCACATTAGGAGTTTAGATTTTACTTTTTTTCCCCCTCCATTTTGCCTCTGAAATAGTCTAAACTCTGTCAAACATTGTAGAAAGCATCTTTTTGCATCCCTCTTCATGTCATTTACCAAAAAGTTTGACAAAATTTAGATCCTGACTTTCTCTTGCCCATTCCAAAATGTGATCATTACTATCTAAAATGTTTTGGGTTGTTGAAAGCCTCCATCAGGGCTCCTCTTTTAATTTCAATCCTCTTTTTCTTCCAATGCTCCTAAACAATCTTTTCCATCCCTAATTCAGTAAAGTGTGCCTAATTTGTAAAATTAGAAAAATCTTGCAAGCTTTTAATGTATGGCTATGAATACCAAAGAAGTGTGAATGCTATATCCTAGATCCTTTACGCTGAGGATATCATGGCTGTGGCAGTAGCATGTTGTAGGGACACTTTCCTGAATGTGTCCCTACAACATGCAGGACCCTGTTTTATTTGTTTCAATTCATTTATTTTATTATATTGTTTTATTCCTTTAAACTTGTTCTAGACTTTGACTTAACTTTATTTATCCCTTGGGATTACTCCTTTAGGGAAATTCTGGTTCCAGTAGCTTATATAGAGTACAAAGATTAAAGATAAAAATACGACAGACAATATAAAAAGGGTTTATATAATACAAAAAAGCATTAAAGAAAAAAGTTGTAATGTCCTGGAATATGTTTCCTTTAGATATAAAAATATATGCACAGTAGAGAGCTATGGGAGGACTACAAAGTCTTAAATTGGGTTTTTGCACTTGCTCTGCAGAAATGTCCTGACCATATAAATAATTTAAACTTAAACAGACTTCACAGTAGTTCACTTGGATGATTGCACTTGTCTGCAGAAATGTACTGACCTTATAACTAAGTAAAAAATTACGCAGGCTACACAGTAGTTGCATGTGTTATTGCACAATGAGAGGGGAAAAAAATATGTTCTGTGTTGTTTTTATACAATTTTATTTTGACCGGCACTTTGTGGCAGCTGTGTTTTTTTTTAAAGGGCTTAACAAATGAACTTGAGTTGAAATAACATTTTCTGTGCAGTGTGCAATCCTCTCAATATATTTCTTCCCTCTTTGTCAGATCATGATGGTTTAGGCCCACCTCCTCATAAGAAAAAGCATAAGTCTGTGGAACGCTCTCCGCCTCTTTCTTCACCCTCTTTGTTGCACCCGGCAGACACGGCAATGGGCCTTCTGCAGGCCATCACTTCTCCCATGGCCACCGGCTCAGACCCCAGCCCCCACTTACACAAGAAACCCTCCTATCCAACTTTCTCCTCGCATTCCTCCAAGGATCGCAAACGTGAGAGCAGCGGCGGTGGAAGTGGAAGCAAAGGAAGTCACTCTTTATCACATTCCCGCCCCGTCTCTTTGTCATCTTCGTCATCGTTTAAGAAGCACTCTTCCTCCTCTTCCTCTAAATCGTCTCTTTTTCACGGTGGCGCTCCCAAAGAAGAGCCCCTGACCTTAAGAGAGGCCGACGGGCTGAAAATGAAGCTTATTATGTCGCCAGAGAAAGAGGAACCAGAGAGCTTCCCCATAACGCCGCACTCGTCCAAAGTTAGTGTGAAGAAAGAGAAGGACAGAGAGAGGATGCAGCCATCAAAGTCGCCCAAGAAGAAGCCGCCACCGAGCAGAGACCCGCTGCCTGTAGTGGGGAAGGAGGTGGAGGTAGAAGGTAAAAAGTAAACCAAATGTTTCAAGATGAACTCTAAATGATTTCTGTTTTTATGCTCTGCTTTTCCTTTGAATGCTAATTTCTTTGCTGTGCAGGTCACTATGGAGTCGGTATGGGAGATGACAGTTCTTCATCCGGAGGAGAACTGGAGGCCGGGGAACTGATAATAGACGATTCATACACACACCTGTCGAAAAAGAAAAAGAAGAGCAAAAAAAGCAAGAAGAAAAAAGACAAAGAGAAAGACAGAGACAAGGAGAAGAGCAGCAAGGACAAGAAACACAGCAAAAGTTTAGGAGGTGAGTTCACTAAAGGTTAAAAAAATAACTTTGTTCCGTATTGAGCCCACTTTTGCGAGTTTAGGTTTAAGTGGTAGAGCAGATGATCGATGAAGGGTTCCCCCCCCCCGGAAAACAGGCAAAACCCGGTGGTGGATGTCTCTATGGTGGCCCTCCCTTATACGACTCGTACTTCATTTATTGGAATATGATTCCAGAACCAGTGGCCGAGGCAGATTAGATATGACTTTGAGGCCACTTTCCATTCAGCAGGAAGCTGGAGCAGTTGGGAAACAGACAGGAGCTGGGATAGCATTGAACAGTGAAGAGACAGAGACATTAGAGCTCGTTAACAAACAGATAAAACTTAATTCAGCCATAATCGAAAGGCTCATAGGAACCGTTTGCATGTAGGACATAGTTTAATCATGATTAATCAATTATTGAAATAATCATAAACTAATTTAATAATCGATTAATCGTTAACTGGAGTATAGAGATTCTAAAACATGCCTTTAGCTGACAGAGCGTCCCACTTAGAGCATTTTGCATTAAGATAACAATCTTTTTTTTCTGCCAATATGCTCTACCCAGAGCTTCTTAAGTGGAAATGGTTTAATTCAGCAAAAAGTCTTCGTTACGGAACCTTTGGCTGTCCAATTATTAATCAAAAAAAATTATTGACACAATTAATAGATTTGCAAAATAAATGTTAATTGCAGCCCTCATATACATGCCTTAAAACAGATGCCTTTAAAATGCTATTGTAGTTAGCAAGCATGTGACTGCCCTGGATTTACTGGACTGCATCAAATCTCCTGCTTGAAGTTGAGAGGAGAGTTGCTAGAAAATTCCCCCACAAGTCTCTGTAAAGTTGATAAAATCCCTGCCATTTCAGGCATGGTTATAGCCAGAGTCATTTTTAACTGTGTCACCGGATCAAAATAGTTAGTTGTGTTGAAACGGCAGTCGGATCTCCATAAACGGTCAGATCTTCCACACATCACTTGCTGACGCAATAAATGGCTTCTGTTGTTGACTTGAACCATTACACCTATTTCTCTGTGCTTACTGTTGTGCTGCCTGCAACGATACAGATATAATCGATTTAGAGCTGCAGTTCACACTGAAGTTAGATATAGGCATCAAATAAAAAAAGTAATGGGAACCATCACCGCACACAAACAAATTGGATTGGAGTTTTAAGACCTGAATGGTAGGAATGTTTCTAAGTTTCCATTGTTGCCCACATTAGATTATACACCGTGAATCATGTTAAATATAAATAAAACAGGAAACTGAATGTTTCAGTCAGAGGGCTCCTGAGTTGCAGCCCTCAGAGGTAATACTGCAGTATATTACCATATTTTACTTATTATATTTATATTATAAATGTAAATATTTTATTATATTTACACTAAAGGTAAAACCAAGACAAAGAATTAGTATATATCAAGCAAATATCCTCATTGAGCAGGATTAGTTTGTTATGGAAAGCTGTGTTTACTCCTTGAAGCTCTGTCTCTCTGGTTCTTTTCCCGAGAAGATATCTTTAAATAACACTTCATAATGTATATGTATTAAATAACCATGAGACATGACAACAGATTTTGACATAAACTGAAATCTACTCAGATCAGAGGTTGCTTAGAGTTACAGAAGCAGAGCTTACCAACCGGGCTCTCATCTTGTGAAGGGGCCACGATTCACAGTTAAAGAAGCATTGTATACATGTCCAGTCTGCCACATCATTACATCATATGTAAATGAGGAGACATCCATGGCTGCAGCCTTGTCGAAATATTACAGTTTCCCAGATACAAGCACAGAAATCTCGCTTTTAAGAATGATCCACTCTGTCCGTGCCTCCATTTCATTCTCAAATCTATGTTATGTATATAATGAAGAAGATAACTGTATATCGAGACAAAGGAACTGTCCTTATTAGATCATTTACTTGGGGAAAACATTAGTTCTGACATGCAACAGGCTGGTATTATTAGGGATTAACAGACTTGCACATCATTAATAATAATATTCCTAACAACATTGGCTGTTATAGAGTAACTCTAGGAGTATAGTGAGCAGATAATACCTTAGGTGCTAGTGGTGTTATCTGCTCCTGTAATCATGCTGACTCATATCCACTGGGCAGTTTAGCATCCTTTTGTAGGAAACAAGCATTCAGAATAATTTGGATTCTAGTCTACTTTGTGAAAATGTGAGTTGGTGCTCCAGTAGATGATCATTCATCAGAACATTACTTGGTGTCATTTTTCCTTTATCTCATATTTCCTTAGAGTTGAAATGGTTCCAACAAGGACTAAAATAAATGGAGTGAGACCGTATATAAGGATGGCTGGTATAAACTTAAATGTGAATGTTATATTTTTAGTATTTAATGGGATAATTTATTGAGATAATATTTTTTTAAAATCTACAGTCTTTTGGGCAGCCAGAGACTTACTAACACCCAGGGCCCTATAACTAAGTTACCTGTGATCTAATAGGCTGCATTAGTTCACCTGTTGAATTAGCAATGCAGCAGCATTAGCATAGTGAGGAAAATATATATTTGAACACCCTGCAAGTTTGCAGGTTCTCCCACTTACACAGCATGGAAGGTTCTGACATTTTCATCTTGGGTGCATGTCCAATGTGAGAGACATAAT